CACACACACACACACACACACGCACACACGCACGCACACACGCACGCACGCACACGCACACACACGCACGCACACGCAGACACACCCTCTGCGTTGGCGATCTCCTATTGGCTGGGACACCCACCACTGTCATCTGTACATCGGGCATGACAAATTGCGGATATCATGTCTTCTTACTAACGTTCGTCGCGCTCGGCATTACTATTGTAGTACACCATCGCAGCGGCGACCATCCCGATCGCAATCGCCACCCTTCCTCCGACAACCTCCTTTTTGTTTTTTGCCAAAAATTTGGACAGTTTCTCAATTTAGGCGTGTCATCCTTTCGGACGGGCCATTTGCTAATTTACCCTTCTCTGTATCGGTCCAATTTTAACCGATGTCCCAAAAGATATACCTTCTTTTTCATGCCCGAAGAACGACCTCAGTCTAACCAGCAAAGTCGGAAGGACTCACGGAGGACGGAGGGGGGTAGAGGAGGAAGGGGGGGGGGCGGGAAAAGTGGGGTAAGCGGGAAACAAAAAAAAAAAAAAAAAAAAAAAGGAAAGAAGACTGCGACCGAGGTAAAAAAAAAAAAAAAAAAAAATGTTACACTAGAACGAGTAGAGAGGAAAAGAGGAAGGAGAATTCTTTTCAAGAAGAGCATCGCCTCAGCACCGGCGATGTCGGCTATGTCTGCGATGTCTTTCGGAACTTCAGGGCATCTAGCAACAGGTGTACGAGAGGGGAGAGGGGAGAGGAGAGAGGAGGAGAGAGGAGAGAGGAGGAGAGAGGAGAGAGGAGAAAGGAGAGAGGGAAGGTGGGTGAAAGGACGGAGAAAATGGAAAGAAGGGGAATCACCTATAATGTCGGAAATAAAGGCCTTCTCTCTCCCCAAAGTGGGGTGGCCCTATCCACCCAACGGGGGGTGCCCCTCTCCGCCCAACGGGAGGTAAGCTAAGGTGGGAGAAGAACGATCGTCGTTGCATCTCGACTCACAGCACAGAGGGAGAATCATCGCTGGCCGACAGGCGAGAGAGAAGAAGCCATTGCCAAACACACCACAACGAAGGTGGGAGAAGGAATGGAGAGAAAGGGGAAGAGTAAATTATATGAATATATATATTAAAAGTAGTAAATATATCAGATTAAAATTATGAAGTAAATGAAGAAAAAAGAAACCGGCCTCTTACTATTGATTGCTGCTAATGAATGCTAATTTTGTTTTTTTGTTTTTTAGTTTTTTTTTAAAAAGAAAGAAAGAAAAAAAGAAAAAGAAACACGTCCATGACCATCACCACCTACCACGTTGGGAGTTTCCTGACGTTGGCGGGAATCCAGCTGGCAGCTGCAGGAAGTCGTCTTTCGTCAATCTCCAGACACTATAGAGAGAGCAATGTTCAGAGTCCACGACTGCCCACCAC